ATTTAATTCAAGGTGAGAAACGTGTGGTTGGTAGGTCTTCTTTAGTGCAAACAACCTACAATATTCAGGTGGTGAAAATGCCATGACAATATCTTGGCCGTAAAAGCCATTGATATGGGCCTTCATGTCACAATAATACGACTGAGCCCACTGATACACATGGGAGAGCAACAGTGTAAATGGTGAGTAGCCTCTGTGACCCCCCCTTTGAAAAATCCTGGCTACGCCCCTGCATTGAGAGAAAGATAATCAGTGGATAAGGTTAAGAAATTGCAGTGTTATAGGAGGTAGGTTAAAGAAGCACTTCTCCAAGTTTTAGGTCTCTTTGTTTTCCCAAACTCAAGACATTCATCAAAATGTTCTGCATAAATTTACAGAGCCCAGTATGGAGCCGTCATGTTGGTGAATATCTTTGGTCCACCAACAAGGCAGCCAGAAAAATTAATACTGTGAAACATCTGGAACTTACTTTGGCTCTCTAACCCACTGATTATCTAAACTAAACCAACAAACATGTACAAAAACACTTTTTCTAATAATTAATTTCCTAAAATCACCAGATAAGTCTATATTTTTTGACAAATGCAATTGGAGCTGTAGGTCGTGCAACCACCATAACTCTGAATTTCAAACTGTGCCAAACCAAGCACACTATTGAGATGAAAAACCAGCTAAGAATTTGGCTTCCTTACAAGGTTCTGCTGTAAGGAAAATTGAATGGAGCCCAGTGCATTTGCTTTGTATGAAAAAACAAAAATTCCTGAGTTGCCCAGGAGCAAAAGTAAGGCGCCAAGGGCCACTGGGTGCTGCTAGACCACAGCCCTTGCCCATATGGCTGGTGAGGATACAAATTCTTATAGCTCTTTCTTTTTTGAATTTTTTTAATTTGAGGTGTCACATGAAAATCAGCAATGTTCTGTCATGATTCCATGATCTTTTAGCCTCAAACAGGCAACATTGAATGGGGAGAGGGGAGGGGAGGGGGGTCTATCTATGATTTATAGCATGGTGTAAACTGTAGTGTCATTCTACACATAAAAAGGAATGTTCTTACGCAATGTCAACTAATTTTGGTGCTGATTGCCGCTTGCCAGACATCTCAACACCTGAGAATCTATGAGATATCACAAGGGTGGAGTTTAAAATGAAGCATGATAAAAAGTTCCTGAAAAGATTTCCATATACCGGTAACCCCATACATTAATTATGCATCCCATTTCATAAAGACTAAATATAATTAATGTATAGGGTTATATGGAAACCTTGCCAAGGTTCCCTGTTAGCCCTAATCTCCTTGCACCCCACACCCCACAAGAGAGCTTGCCTGAAGGATAGAGGTTGACACATGCTTTCTCTGAGAGACACAGAAACACTATACTAATACACAGAAAAAAAATAATACAATATAAAATCAGCCAAATCATCTTCCTGAAAATTGTTCAAAGCATAAAATTGTACATTTATCACTAGAGAGATTTTAATTAAACTTGTACCTTCCTGGTGGATTCGATTCGTTTTCAACTTCAACTTTTTCACCCTCATTTCCAGAATCTGTTGGTTTTGGCTCAATTTTACGCAGACCTGGAGATTGCACACTGCTCAAAACGATTGTAGTTCCAACTGCTATGGAAGAAGGCGAAGACGACTGTACGCTCCCTGATAAAAGCTTAGCCAGTACTTCGCTACCATTCGAAGAACTGGAGTTCATGTTGTTGCCTGTTAGAAGTCTCAGGATGACATGATCATCAGCAGTTCCCATTAACGACGTCTCCAAGATCGGCGCAGGATTTGAAACTTGCTCCGAAGACTGATCGCTCCAAATCGTCTCGTCGGACATCACTGATTCGACATCAGCTGTCTTCAACAATCTTCATGTAAACAATTAGACGTCTTTTCAGAGGTTACTTATCGCCTCTCTATCGCGACCGTGAGGGAAAACTTCGCCAAATTACTTTCAAAAAGAGACTTGAATTATCTCTAAACGACAAAGAAAAGAATTTGCCGTCAATAAACCTGAAAAACTATAACGTTAACTTACGTAACCGCAACAAGGACATTGACATAGCCGACTTGTCTGGAGTAAATGGTAAACCGAACCACGATGAAATGACAGCCTGCGATGTACGCCGCTGGCTAGGCACGTGATCAAAATAAAAATAAAAGTATAGGTCCGCGTCGAATCCAAAACAGAACTTGTTACCACTCACAAGTCTGACAGACAAACGCACCATACTTGTTCCAAATAGGCTTTTTAGGATAAAATGTGATACATCGATACCGTTTACTTTAATGGAAAGGAAGGAATCATTGAGATGTGCCCTATTTCCGACAAGCAAAAGTGTCTTACTCGTCCATATCTAAGAGCAGTAAATTCGGGCTATTGCCAGCTAATTCTTTCCTAGTTACACTTGATGTTTCATCCCTCTACACCAATATCCCACATAACGAAGGTATTAATGCTTGTGACCATTTTCTGTGTACCTCCTCCAATACCCCTATTCCTACCGTCACACTTTGTGACCTCATTCGTATGGTTCTTACCATAAACAATTTTACTTTTAATGATTCTCATTACCTCCAAGTTCAGGGCACAGCCATGGGTACCAAAATGGCCCCTTCTTTCGCTAACCTTTTTCTGGGTCTTTTCGAAGCTAAGCCTTTGAAAAATCCCCCATGTAAACCCCACACTTGGTTTAGATACATCGACGATGTATCGACGATTAACAATATCCACCCCACCATCAAATTCACCAGCTCACACTCTTCCACTAATGTGCCTTTCCTTGACGTAAGTGTCTCTTTAACCACCGACGGTAATATCTCCACTGACCTCTACACCAAACCCACAGAAAAACACATGTATCTATTGCACTCTTCTTGCCATCCATTACATACCAAAAAAGCCACTCCGTTCAGTCTAGCACTCCGCCTACGACGTATCTATTCTACAGATAAAGCTTTTGAGACTCGCGCCGCTCAACTTACCTCATACCTTCTCAAACGAGGTTACAGCCATAAATTCGTCACCAAACAAATACAACGCGCCGCTGACATCTCCCGCACACTCACCTTACAAACTAAAGACGTAAAAAAACCTAACCGTATTCCATTTATAACTACTTTTAATCCGTCGCTTCCTCACATCTCCAACATCATCAAAAAACACTGGCATCTACTGCAGTCTTCTAACCGCTGCAAAAAAGCTTTTCCTCAGCTGCCAGTTGTCGCCTTCAGACGCTCCCCCAACCTTCGCGACACATTAGTAACAGCCAAACTCCCCTCTAATTCTACCACTTCCCATCCTCAACTCCCCCCCGGCTCTTTCCGTTGTGGTAGAAACTGCGCTACTTGCCCCTACATCTCTGACGGTCTTACTAACTATACCTTTTTTTCTACCGGCGAAACACGTCCCATTAAATCTCACTTGACCTGTGACACTAAAAACCTTATCTACTTAATTCAGTGTAACCGCTGTAACTTACAATACATAGGAGAAACTAAACGACGTTTAAAAGACCGTTTTAATGAACACCGCCGTACCATTGATAAACCTAACTCTAAATCTAAACCTACTACAGCGGCAGAACACTTCATTTCCTCTCCTAACCACTCTGCTCACGACATGGAGCTAATCGCCATCGAAAAAGTGTTTTCCAAGAGAGACTCGATACGCAAGGCCAGGGAAGCTTTTTTAATTTCAAGAGGCAACACTATTTATCCAGATGGCCTTAACGCTCGCGAAGAAATGTATTAGTTTCTAGTTATTTATCCAATTTACCTTACTTCATTTCTATTTTTGCTCACTATTTCTATTTTTATTGTTATCTCATTGTCAATCAAATTAGTTTTATATATTTCCGCTGTTACATCATACAGCTATCTATGAAGCATCCCCCTAATTCTCTGTTAATTCCCACTGCACCTGAAGAAGGCTGGTTTGGCCAGCCGAAATATAGTGCTCCGTCTTAAAATTTACTTATCTACGTTGTATCGGTCTTGCCTCTATATTTATATTGCCAGCCGTCTAGAGGGGCAATTGGTTTGTGGCAGGAGCCCATGTGGGGTGTATGCAGATAATAAAGGTATGCTATTGGAGTAAACATGGATGGTAACGGATAAGAAACGTATGAATAGATTAAGTGATGAAATGAGAGGCGAAAAATCGATCTTTGCAGTAATGAACACTACTTAACAGTAGTGAAAAAAGACCTGATTAGGCCTGTACCAACCTCGTTCCCAGGGTCTTTTCCCTCAGTCGGGGTATGGCAGGAAAAGGCCCTGGGAAAGAGGTCGGGCATGAGCCTCTCTGTTAATCCAACAACTATTTTTGCTCGCACGCGATTATTCAAAACGCATCAAGTAACCGAATATCCCCCAACTACAACTGGGGGATATCCAAGGACACACCCCAAGTGATATTCCTCAATTTTCAAATCTTACGTCCAATACGGAAAGTTCTGCGCGAGCGCGATTAGAATTTAATTCAAGGTGAGAAACGTGTGGTTGTTACAGAAGAAGAAACATGATGTTTTGTTCATAAAATCGTATCAGAGAACACTGAAAAGTGAACATCCCACACTTTAAACGGAAAGCTGATCGTAAACATTTTTCACGCGCATTTGAAGGACAAGAAACGCAATAAACTCCATTTGGCGCGAAAACAAGCTTGCATATTGTTCTTGGACGTTATCTGTTCCTCGAAGTTCACAGTTTTCCTCGAGCTCGGAAAACTGTTTGCATCTCGGAACAGACTTGAATGTCCATGGTTAAATATCCGTTCATATTTTCGCATTAAATGGTGGCTATCGTCTATATATCAACCACGCGCTCGTGGAATAATTGTTACAGTGTAAATGTATATACCAATTTTCAAAAACGTTGCAAATTTGATAATATTGTATGAAATACATATATCTTTCCTTTTCTCGTCAAAAAGTGCCCCTTTTTTAATGCACCCGAACTACAAATTGTTCACAATCACAAAGCAGAAAAAATCTTATCGCAGAATTTATTACCTCAATTTTGGAATCACTGATGATCCAGTTGCAATCCGATTCGCTATAAACGATTTATTTTCGAGTCGCACTTGTTTTTCTTCCTGTCGCATCTCCGCGTTGCGCAATCATGGTCTGAAACCACAATAGTGATTTCAAATCAAACCCGCGTTGCCTGCTCGTCCGATTTTTAAATCACGCGCGCGCGATTTCGATCACGCGAGCACGCGCGCAAAAAAAGGCGCATTTCAAACAAAATGATTTTTTTCACGCGAGCCAGAATACTTTCAGTTTTTTTTTAAAGAAATATATTAACGAGTATTAGTTAAATAATTTAGATTAATTTTAGAGAAAAATACTAGTACTTATACACGCAAGCCAGAACATTTTCAGTACTTTTAAAAGAAAATATTTGTGCTCATAAGCCTTCTTACTTACGGTATGTCAAAACATAAAATTAATATTAATAGGTACGAACCAAGATTTTCTTTCCATCCATGCATCCAACAACTGACGGTTAAAGAATTTCTTTTGCCGCTAGTAGAGTCTCATTCCACGGGGGATGGGGTTAATTTGAGAGAATACAAGCGCTATGCGTTTCAATACTTGCTAACTGAGCAAATACATTACGTGGAAACCTCACAAAACCATATATATTCATATCAAAGACCAATTATGGTATTTATAGGATCATAATAATTTACAATTATTCCACGAGCGCGCGTTGGGTATGAGATGATAGATAGCCAACGAGGCGCGTAGCGCCGAGTTGGCTATAATCATCTCATATCCAACAAGCGNAAAAAAATCAATAATCAATTTAATGTTATGTTACGATTTCGAAAACTGATATCGAGGGACACCTTACTTACGCTTTACAAAGCTTACATTTTACCGCATTTTAATTATTGTTCCTCAGTTTGGCACTTTTGCGGGGCGCGGAATACGGATAAACTAGAGGCGCTGAATAAGAGAATACTTAGATTTATACTTAGGGATTACTTGTCGCCATATGATAGCCTTCTGACTAAGGTCAACACTAGTTCCTTATGTAATGGGCGTATCCAGAATTTCCTTATTTTATTGTACAAGAGCCTGTTTTTCACTCATTTTCCAGCTTATATGAGAGGTATGTTTTCACTTCGGTCCTCTTCTTATAATCTTCGCGGTAATTACATACTGTCACTTAGAAAACCTAGAACAACTAGTTATGGCCTTAATTCATTTTCATACTTCTCAGCTAAGCTATGGAATACACTGCCTGACTATATCCGCATGAGCGCATTTAAAGACTTAAGAAAGATAATCCAAGGCCGTATCTTTGTATAGTCGCTCCCGCTCATCTTCACTTTTCTGTTAATTTCTACTGATATGTTACATAATTATATTTCTAAATACTGTGTATTTTAGTATATTTTAGTATAGTTAGTATTTTAGATCTTGTACAGATATATGTATGAATATATATAGATAATCTCCATTTTATGTTTTCTCGAAGATATTAGCTCCAACAAGCTACTCTAAAATTCGAGATGAAATAAAGTTTATGATGATGATGATGATGAACATGTTTAATTTCGCAGTGATCTCCTTCTTCCCCTAACAAAAGCCCTCCCTCTTCTCTCTTTTAGTTTTCTGAGATCCTTGTAAAGGTCATCATCAAAATAATACTCCAGTAATGTGTGGTACCTATTGAAACATGGTTCTGGACACATTCTAACTCCACAAACAGTACAGGTGTATGTAGTCTTCACTTGTTGAATGTGTACCTTACAGGTAGCTCTGGTACCATGACTGATAAGGTGATGGAAATGGTCACAGTTGAACCTGATATTTGGAAGAGAGACTGGGATGTGATGAATTCCTGTGTCTCTCCTGAAGGATTTGTCATCAACTAATACCTTAAGCACTGGCTTCCTAAACTCAAGACTTGAAATGGAGGCATGATTAGGAAATTTACAAAGCAAAATGTGTGCATTTGAAGTACACACTTCAATCAGGTAGGAAAAAACCTTAAAATAGCAGACTACCCACCTGATGAGTGGGGCATAAGACACCACCCTTTGGTCCGACAAATCTAAACCACCTATATAAGTATTACAAAGGTTAATTACACCTGGACTGGCAAAGTCCCTTTCCTCCCAAGTTCTTTTTACTTTCTTGGAGCATTGAACAATACTTTCATCTGTTTCACTTGTGGGAATGGTAGCCAAAACGCTCACTAGTTTTTGGTCACGCCATATCACGAATGTCACACTTCCCTTTTGCTTGTACAAACTCAATCCCCTTTTAAGCTGTTTTACTTTCTTTTCTTTTGGGCCACAAATTTCTTGTGGCAGGCCTGACCTGTTGGATATTACTGTCCCACATGCAAGAGTGCTCCTTTCTTCAAGTTCCTTGTACAAAGCAACCGATGTATAGTAGTTGTCCATAAAGACATAGTATCCCTTGTCTAGGTGAGGCCCCATGACAGACATTACAGTCTTTCTACCTAAGTCTCTCTGGA